CAAGAAAATGAAGAATCTGGGGCTGAAGACAGCAGGCCTCTATGGGGCTAGCCATCCCCACATTAGTAGCGGTTGCCTCTCAACACAAGCACCAAGTCCATCTGCTGCTTGGGGCCTTCCCAGAGGTATTTGCTGGGTCACGCGTGGTCCTACTGTATGGGCCAGTATCCTTCCTGGGTTTTCTAGGCATATGCATATTTTTAGGAAAAAGAACTATGCGTCTGCTCAAAGGCACAATGCTTCGATTTCTAAGAAGCATGGTTTCTTTCTCGTCTTGGCCTGGGAGATAAAGCAGGAGAGCCCCGCGGTTGGCATGCCAGGGGCAGCAGAATTTAAAACAAATCTGACCTCTCCACCCTCACCTGTTGGCAAAGCAGGAGTCCGAGAAACACTTACCCTTCCCGAGCTGAATGAAGCCAAGGGTGATGATCAAGGCAAGTGCCAGGAGCTTTGCAGCTGCAAAGGCGTCTTGCACGCGAGTAGCAGCTTTCACGCTGTAGCAATTGACCGCTGTGAGCAGCACTGGGGAGAAACACATCAGGAAGCAAAATGAGTAAGTAAAAATCTCGGGCATTTTTTTCAAAAAGAGGCATGGCGCGTGGGCTGAGGAAACTCGTCCAGGACGGGACTCCAATCTGTGGCCAAAAGTACATACAAAATACTATGATTATTTTCCATATATTTAACAGCTTTATAATTCATGAACATAGGATGCTGGAACCACGTGGCATCACCCTAGCACACAGACCAACCAAGCCCTCCAAAACATCTTAAGCAAACCAAAAGACCCAGTAACCCAAGAAGAAAGAACAGGAGTCATCTACAGCACACAGTGTAAGGACTGTAACAGCCGCTATGTAGGGCTGACAGGCAGAAGGCAGGCAGAGCGCATCCATGAACACCAACTAGCAGTCAGAAGACACGATGAACACTCCTTAATCTCACAACACGTGGAAAAGACTCAACCATAGTTTCAACTGAGAAACCGCGAGCATCCGAGACCAAGCTAAATCCGAAATCGCTCGGGAATTCCTGGAAGCATTCAGACAAATCAGCCATCAATAGAAATAAACCATGTTTACAATAAAAAAGCTAAGAGGGAAACAAAGACCGGAACACATCCTCTCCCAACAGCCAGATAAGCAGGGATTAACACCAGACAAACAATTAAACAGCAAAAAATACCCTAATCAAGGAACTACCAAGGAGAAAACCACACCCCACCAACACTGGCAGGGTAGGCTACGGTATATAAACAGGGAGCAAACCCCACACTCACCAGCACTGATGATGTTCCCTAGTCGGGTAATGAAACGTCTGCAAGCAAACAACCAAGTTCAGAGAGTACCAAGGACTCCATGGAACTATACCTGGCAGATTGCACCCTCTCGCGTGTTTGCACATGCATGTGGAAAACAATCAGTAGGAGTCTGGTAGCACCTTTTCTGGCCAAGCTAACTTTTATGAGCTTCTGCCTTTGAACAAAATGAGTCAGCTGGAAAAGATGCTACCAGAGTCTCCTTTTTGCCACCGTAGTCTACCACATCCCTCCTCCTACAATGTGTCTATGTGTATA